ATTCTATTCTATTCTATTCTATTCTATTCTATTCTATTCTATTCTATTCTATTCTATTCTATTTCCTCACTGTACACTCATCTGCCCATATTTTGAGGCAGGCTATGGTTCTAAGTGTCTTAAAGTGAAAATTTCCTAAATCAGTCAGTTATACATTACTCCTCTTCTTCACCCTTTCCTCTGACGTGATATTAAAAAAAACACCAGTAAAATAGTTTATAGCAATGGTGAATGCTGGAGCTTTGCATTCCTAGTTACTTATTATACCTTTGGAAATCATGATTTTCACTCTTGAAGAAAATCCTGCAAATGAACAGCTATTAAAACATATTTTTGTCACCTGTCCCAAATTTATTTCCAAAGTAAACTATTTCTTTCTGATAAATGCAGCGTAAGAAGAGTAAATATAAGGTTTATGTAGTAATCTTTTTACACAAATATGACATTACTTTTTGCTTTTATACAAATTCCTGGAGAAAATAGAGATCAATGTGCTTATTCAATGGTTAGGTTTCATACAATAATATGCCGAGTATTTTAAAAGCATATTTTTAAAATATGTGTCAGGCTAAATAATTTGTTTTCATTAATTAGAAAAGTTAAATACTATATGTATTATCCAATTAAATGTAACAATAAAAATAACTTTCTTGTTTTCATTTTTTGTTTTTTTCCTTAGGATTATCGAGTGAACATTTTTCTCCGTCAGAACTGGAATGATCCACGCCTTTCTTATAGTGAATATCCAGATGACTCTTTAGATTTAGATCCATCCATGCTGGATTCAATCTGGAAACCTGATTTATTTTTTGCCAATGAAAAGGGTGCCAACTTTCATGAAGTAACAACTGACAATAAATTGCTTCGAATTTTTAAAAATGGAAATGTTCTTTATTCTATCAGGTAAATTGTTGAGTACAAAAATATGAGGTTATAGCATAATTTCAAGGTTATCTAAGTTCCATTTAAGCATAATGATTGTTGCTTTTATAGATTCACATTGATTTACAAACTCAGTAATTATAAATAAAAATTACTAAAAGCCTTAGTAGAATTTTTAACTTCTCAAAATTTTCCCAATGCTTAAAGAGTTCCTTCTTTCAGTTTGCCTACAAAGCTAATTTGCGTGCTCCTGGTATAAGCTGTCTATATTTGTTGCTATCAGAAGTCTGTGATATAACTATATCCAATATTTAAAAATTCTGCCTTTTCCTTAAATGTTCCATAACTTCATTGCATATATGAGGTTTAAGTTGTAGTTCATTAGCATACAATGCATTGCAGAATACACATATTGTAGATTGCACTGATTCTGAATAAGGGTTTAATACTCCTGTGTTTGTTCAAAGATATTTATTTTTTTCAGAATGTATCTGGATTAGGTTTTCTAATAATTTGTTCTTTATACTATAGCATATATCATCTATTCTCTGTCAAAATTCTTCCATTGATTCTCCTAAATTTTTAAGTGTAACAAAGATACTTTTATTTGAAATGAAAAAATATTATTATTTGTAGCAGAAATCATTCATATGGCTTTTATTTGAAACACTTAATATGTTGTTTTTATAATAATTTCACAAATCAATGAAAGATACAGGATTAAGTTATAATGTACCATATTGCTCAACATAAGCACAAATTATATGTAGAGAATTCTGTAAAAATACAAAATAAAATTTGGAGATGTTTATTCATAAATAGGTTTCTCTGATTTTATGAGGTTCGTTTCCAAGAAAGGTTGATAAAATTGCAGTTTTAAAATCAATTCTAAGCACTTAGAGTCTAATACAAAGACAACTTTATAATATTTCATCATTTAAATGAATTGTAGTTTATTATTTTGTATTAATTATACATGTGCTGGATTTGCCAATTTTCCTCCTTATTGTAGATGGACGTAAGGAAATGTATGTGAAGAAAATATTCTTTTTGTTTTATTTGCGTTGCATTCTTTCAGGTTGACTTTAATTCTTTCTTGTCCAATGGATCTCAAAAATTTTCCAATGGATGTCCAGACCTGTATAATGCAACTGGAAAGCTGTAAGTATAAATTAATCTATTCATGAGATACATTATCTACTATTATTTGTGATAATATAAATTTTCATGCACAGGAAACTTCTTTTTCCATGTTCAAATTATGTTCCTACACCTTCCAGGATTCCAAGCCAGTGAAGTAAGAAACTTGGTAAGTTGAAGTCCCAGTACATTAAGTAGTCACTCAATTGAGTAGTAATGTTTGGAAAAAACAAACATTAAAGATTACATAATCTTGGCAAAGAAAAATGTTTTCTAATACAGAATGTCCCTATTAGTCATGGGGAACTCATTAGTTAGGGGAAAATTATTCATAAACTCCTATGAGACAAGCTTCTGCTATACCAGCAATTTTCAGTTTGAGGGAAAGGTGGCAAGTTTGTTTGGAAATTTGTAGTTTCAGCCAAAAATTAGCCATCAAAATCCATACTCATACCGGACCTTTAAGCATTCCTGTTTCCAAACTAACCTTGTGTTAATTGCTAGGGCTACAAATAGGGCTATGGCTCTCAAGAATTTGTTTCACTGACTCAAGTTTGCACTTGCATCCTATTTAGAATTTGGGCCAAAAAGTTTTCATGCAGCTGATATTAGTTCTTTAGTAAAGGAGAAGCACACAATAGTAGTTCTGGAAGCTAAGCTGTGCTGCATAATGATGATGTGGCTCAAGGTCATTTTGGAGTAGAAAATCAGCCAAAACATTTCCAGGTCAATGCTATTTCACTCTTTGATGAAAAGCCCTATTCCCTATTGCATTTTAATATTTTGTTTAGATCTATCATAATATTTTTCCATGTAGCAATGACTATACCATGTTTTATGACTATACTCACCCTGTAATTTTGATATAATTTTGAAAGAGAAAGCTTAAGAAGATTATTCAACTTTATCTCCCATCATAGGTTGGAAATTCTTATAGACAAAATCTTAGCTATTTTTTATTATTGGCAGCATACGAGCTTCTATCCTTGCTTCTTTTACCTTCAACAAGAAATTCCTTGAGTCTTCCTCACTCCTAGCTATCATTGTTGTACCATTAACATTTGTGAGGTTTTGTTGTTTCTTGCAGCAATTTTAATTTCAAAATTTTCCAATCCAATATTTTGAAATATTTTGCAAATGAATTAAATAATTAAGGTTTATAGTGGAAGCCCATTTTCACCCTGGCTGTTTTGGTCCCAGTTATTCCCAAGATCTGAATTGCCAAACCTTTAGCTCTATCTTACTGCCACCTGTGATAAGTGCAAACATCTGGTAGTTTTGTCTTTTCTGAGCATTTTTTTTTTTTTTGTCTTGAAATAGCAACAGCATTTAGCAATAGCATGACATATATTCAAAGTGTTTTATAGCACTCTCTGAGCAATTTACAAATGTCAGCATATTGTCCCCAACAATTTGGGTCTTTATTTTATCAACCTCAGAAGGATGGAAAGCTGAGTCAACACTGAACCAGTCAGGATTGAACTCCTGGCAGTGGGCAGAGAAAGGTTGCCATACTGCATTCTAACCACTGGGTCACTATGGCTTTTACAAATTGATCCTTTCTAGTATTTGAGGTATTGGTACAATTTCCATACTTGTCGACAAACTGTACATAGTATCATAATTGCATCATGTTGTAAGATTTTAAATAATTCTACTGTTATTTTGATTGATAGCCCACCATACATATATGCATATATACAGTATTATATAGTACATACAATCAAAATAGTGAACATATCTAATTATCCTGCCTCCACTTTTCCTCACCACAATTTCATAAAATGGATTGAACTGAAAAAGGGACTGGCCCAAAGTTGGTTTTTGTGCTGAAGGGAAGCCTGGAAATTTCCTGGATTCTAGGCAAGCATCTTAACCTCTGCATCAAATGAATTCTCTGCAAGTTCATCTTTAGCAATATTTTATAGAGATCATTTTATGTTACTTTCAGAACACCTAGATCTTATTCAGTGATTTAGAACTTCCTCTTCTGCTTTTGGGAAACTTATGATCTCTATTAGCAAAAATAAAAGAATTAGATGCAGTTCAGAATTCATAATGCAGGGACTTCCGGTTTGAGCTTCTTCAGCGACAGACCGAAACCTCATCTCTCCGAGGCTTCGATCCATGCTCACCGCTGGAGCACCCCGAGCCGGCTGGTTTTGGGGCTAAGCCACCCCATAGAGGTGGTGAAGAGGGGGGAGACTGCCTGCAGGGTTGAGGACAGCCACATCTCTCCTCCCCAGCTGGCCATTACTCCCTTTCCTGAAGGCGGTTGTAGCGGTAGTCAGAAATGGCCACCACAAAGAAGAACTCGACCGGAAAAGAATGTGCAGGAGGAAGATAAGAAGAGAAAGTTTTGGTTGACCGGTTCAAACAGCAAAAGCAACAAATAAGGTACCCTGGAATCTAAACTTAACAACATTGTTCCCAAAGAAGATTTTGAAGCTACGAAGGAGAGAGAGAAGGGAAAGGATTAGTTTTTTTTTCTTCCCTTCCTTATACTGACAGCTAAGAGACTTAAGCAAGAAACTGAAAAAAAAATCCACCTTGACATTAATAGGCATGTAAGCTGAAAATAAAAGTCAAAGGGATAAATAAAAATTTCTGGACATTTAAAAGTTTTTAAAAGCTGGAAAGGAGAAAAAAAAGAATAGAAGGGCAGGATCTGGAAAAATGGAGGAGACTGCCTGGAATTAAGGAATGGAACTGTAATTAAAAGGAACTTACAGTGAAATTTTAACAAAATTCCTCAAAGATACATTTTAATGGAAACTTGGTAACAAAATAATAGAACCCCAGGAAGAGAAAGTGGAAAAAAGAAGCAAGTAGAAACAGCCTTGGATTATTTGGATTACTTGGTGATTTTTGGTTTTTGGATCTAGATGACTAAAATTAACTGGGTGGTTGTTTAAAAGTTTTTAAAATGGTATCACTCTTAGAAGAACTGAAAACGGAACTTAAAAAATGGAAAGAAGACGCACAAGAAGGGAGAAGTTCTTTTGGCTTCGTGTTTCAATTCTTAGAAATGGAACTATGAGAAGCAACAAGAAACGCCTGCAGAACAAGAAGATTGGGACAAAGAAGAAGCCATCTTTAATGACCAAATAATTTTAAGTGGGGGGGGGAGAAAAGGGGGGAAAGTGAGTGAAAGGTTTAAGATTAGAAAAAACAACCAAAAAGAAGAAGAACAATTTGAAAGATAAGTATAATATTAGAAAGCAACAGAAGAGGGGATTACAGATGAGAGAGTTAGAAGTAGAGAGAAGAGAGGGAGTAGAGAGAAAAGGGGAGGGGGAAGAAGAGGGGGAAGAAGGCAAGGAAAAGAAGTTGTAAAAGACAGAAACAAGAAATGGAGAAACAGGGAAAAGATATAAGGATTGTAACCATAAGTTTGTTTAGAGATAATGGGTGAAAATTTAACTGTAAAAGGGATTCTGCAAAGGTACATAAGATAGCTTTGTTATATTACAAATAGAAATAACTTTAGAAAATATGATGATGGATAAAATATTTATTGTAATGCAGTCAGATGTTTGTTAATAAATAAATGAATTAAAATGATTGAGAGAATTAAAAGGGAACATTTTTAATTATTAGTAATGATTTATAAAAATATAAGTGAGAAATATGGAAAAAAAAGAATTAACTATAGAAAGTTTATAAGTGTTCCCAAGGAAGTATGATATTCAATTGAAAAGAAATGTTAAAGATGTTAAGATTTTAATGCATATTAATGATAGAATTGAATTGGAATGGAATGTATTTTATTTACATATATATATATACACAAGATGCCACCACCACACTTCCACGTAAAAATCAGACTCACAC